CCAGTAACCCCCTCAATATACCCGCTCCCCCCCAGTAACCCCCCTCAATATACCCCCTCCCTCCCAGTAACCCCCCTCAATATACCCCCTCCCTCCCAGTAACCCCCCATCACTATGCCCCCTCCCTCCCAGAATACCCCCTTCCTCCCAGTAACCCCCTCAATATCACCCTCCCTCCCAGTAACCCCCCTCAATATACCCCCAGTAACCCCCTCAATATAACGCTCTTCAAGTATACCCCATCCTTCCCAGTAGCACTCCTCTCTCCCAATATACCCCCTCCCTCCCAGCATCCCCCCTCACTACACCCCGCTCCCTCCCAGTAACCCCCTTCCTTATCACCCCCTCCTAGTAAACCCCCTCCTTTACACTACCGCCCCCTCTCTCCCAGTATCCCCCCTCCCTTACACCATGACCGCCTCCCTCCCAATATCTCCCTTCACTACCCCCCTCCCAGTATACACCCTCACTCACACTATCACCCACCTCTCTCCCAGTATCCCCCCTCCCTCCCAATATTCCCCAGTATTTCCAAGTCCATACCAGTATTCCCCACTCACACTATCAACCCCCTCCCTCCCAGTATTCCCCATCACAGTATTACCTTATCCCTTTCAGTACTACCCTCTCCCTTACACTATCACCACCCTACCTCACACTATCACCCCACCCCCTCCCAGCATTCCCCCCTCACACTATCACCCCTCCCTCCCAGTATTTCCCCACTTACAGTATTAACCCCTCCCTCATAGTATCCTTCCTCCCACACAGTATTACCCCCTCGGCTACCCCCTTCCCTCACACTATCACCCTCACAGTATCAGTGGCGGATCCAGAGAGGGGACAATGGGGCAATTGCCCCCCCCCCCGAGTTTCCACCCTGCCGGTTAATGTAGGGCTGGCATTGTCCAAGTGCCAGCCCTGCAATGTGCCTACGGACCGGGAAGAGATATCCCTCCCCGGTCCGCAGGCACTGTGCTGGCAGCCGGCAGGGTTGAGAGGGAGAGAGGACCCGGGAGCTCAGCCTCTCTACCACGGCAACGCTCCAAATCATACACACACTACACACACTGCCCCACAAACACTGCCCCCATACACACACTACACACACTGCCCACAAACACTGCCCCCATACACACACTAAACACACTGCCCTGCATCCCATACACACACTGCCCCATACACACACTGCCCAACAAACACTGCACATTGCCACACATACACACATTGCCCACACACACATACAGTGCCCCCCCATACACACTCCTCCAAACACACATACAGTTCCCCCCCATACACACTCTGCAACTCTCACACACACACTGCCCCGCTCACACACTGCCCCACACATACACTGCCCCTTAACACACACACTGGAACCCTGACATAAACTGCCGCCTAACGCACTCGCACACACATTTCACCGCTCACACACACACACACTGCACCTTTCACACACACTTCACCCCTAACACATACCACTGCTCCTATACCCTATATCCCAGCAGACCCCAGGTAAGTTGTCAAACTGTTCTTAAACGGTTTGACTACTTACTCTGAGATGGGATCCTGGCACTACTAGCACTATAACTACTACACTGAGCTGTAGTGGTTATTGTGCCTGGATTATTTCTTTAAATAATCTACAAGTGCCCCTCCTGAGATCAGGCTCTGGATCTGCCCCTGCACAGTATTCCCCCCTCCTACACACCATGACCCCGCTCCCTCACAGTATCACCCACCTCCCTCACAGTATGTCACCTCCCTCTCAGTATTACCCCCTCCCACACACTATCGCCCCTATATCCCACACACTATCACCCCCTCCCTCACCAGATCACCCCTTCCACACACACACAAACTGTCACCACCTCACACACACAGTATCATCCCCTTCACACACAGTCACTCTCCCTTATACACACTGTCACCCCTACAATGTGGTGTCACCATACTCATACACTGTCACATTCCCACACATTGTCACCCGACACCACACTGTCACCCCCTCCACACTTTCAGCCCTTTCATGCATCCACACTCTCACTAACCACTCCTAGTCCTGTTAATCTCACCCCCTCCAAACTCACCTGCCCTCTCTTTGCCACACTCATTAACCCCCTTAATCCTGGCACACTCCTTCCTCAAACCATGCCACATTCACCCTTCACTCCAAAACTGTAATACCCACCCCACCCCAACTATGCCACACTTACCGTCACTTAAATCTTAAATTTTCATTTTTGTTTTCGAGAACCCCTTCACACCAGTACTTATTTATACACGACTGCCGGGCTATGTGACCATACCCCACAATTGTGTATAAACGATTGGCATAATTGCAAATTAAATTTATTTATTGCAAATTAATTTTGTTTGCAAAATGTGCTACAACTATAGCCAGAGAGCTCACAATGCAGGGGCACAGGAAGCTCTGACATTGCAAGCTTCTGAACAATGAATGCAGAGACTGACTCTCTGTATCCAGTGCTGCAAGCACGCCTCTCGATATAGCAAATACTCCTTACACTTATACAAAATACAACCCTATTATTTTATACTTTTGGGTGTAAGTGGGGCCTCATGCTTGAAGTTCGCCTAAGGCCTCATAAAGTCTAGAGCCGCCTCTGCTAAACAGTCATTTTAATGCTGAACAATTTACAGTTTTATTAAAAACACCTAATCTAGGCAAAAATATAATATAATGGGGGTTTAGTTACATGGCATAACTTGACTATTTTTATGCATTCATATCCTATGCTAAATTGGTGACTGCTTATATTTATACTTTTATTGAATAAATGTTTTCCAATTTTCTAAACCCTGACCTGTGGATGTCTTTTGGTGGGACACAAAATTGGAGGTGAACAGAAGGATTGTTTGGCCCCCCATTACACTGGGGGAGGCACCCTGAGAGCTTTTATACCTACTTCTATCTAGTGAGTGCAACCGATAACTGCACACAGAATATTGTATTTTGTAACAATATTACACTATGTTTTGTCTTATGTTCTCTCTGTAGATTTACACAGCTATTCCCGAATTGCTTTTGTTGTGGCTTCCTTATTTTCTCATATATGAATTGTTAAAGAAAACATTAATTGCCCATAGTTTGCCCTGTGCTTAATATCAAATTGATGCTTAAAAGCCATATCAAACAATAGTTTTTCTATTCTGTTTGTGTACACAAATTTACTCTCAAATGCAGCCACCCAAGTACTGCTAGGACGAGATAAAGAAACTCAGAGTTGGAGAACGTGCAGAGACTTGGATTGGTCAAACCACGTCACTGGGACATCTTCAAAAAGTATAAAGACACGGTTTTATCTGATCGTGGTGCGCGGCAGCTGAATTACTTTGAAAGTGAGAAAACACTGCCACTTTGTTTTGTAATCCTGCTTCATTGTTCAGTAATACTATTTTTGATTTGGACCAGATGTTTCACGTGCCTTATTTTCTTCAACAACAGCTTTTATTTACCATTGTCAATGTGAATTATCTGTCTTTGAGAAGACCGGGCAGAGTTTGGAAAAGGACGAGACGTAGAATGTTCGTAGAAGACCAGTCCACGTGCAGATAAAGGATTTGAGATCTAGAAAGTAGCATCTGCATGAAAGCTGGGTGCGACCCATTAATGTATCGCCTGGAGGGCTGTGTAGAAGGCGGCAGATTGCTGCAGTGAAAACATGCACAAGGCTCAGTAATGTGGCCTTGTTTCCCCCAGGCCGGCTTTTAAACGCGTCTTGTACGAGGCTCCGTACACTCTT